CCCAGGGACTCAGCCCAGCAGCTGCAAAGTCTCCAGTGTGTTTTTCCCTGGCTCGTCCCCTCAGATGGCGGGAGACCAGCCTCCCTCCCCAAGCAGGAGCTGGGGGCTGAGCCAGACCAGCTGGCCGGGCCCCTGAGGACTGGGAAAGCGGGGGCTTGGGACGCCACCATCTGGCCCCTCAGCCAGGAAGGCCAATTGGGCAGGAGGCCCCGAGAGGACTCTGGGTCACATGCCCTAGACCTGGGAGGTGGGGTCCCAGGAAGCCTGCCGCAGTGGCTGGGGGGGGGACAAGGGGGAGGACAGGAGAAGGACACAGGGATAAGGGAGAGAGGCAGAGATGGAGAATTGAAATAAAAAGAAACAGGGAGAAGAGAATGAGAGAGTAAGACAGAGAAATAAAGAGAAAGAGACACAGAGATGGAGACAGAAGGACGAAGATAGAGAGATGAGAAAGACAGAGATGGGAGAGACAGAAACTAAGAGAAACAGAGACACAGAGGAACTGGGGGGGCCGGACTGAGAGACAGGCCCAGAAGGAGGCAGAGAGGGGACAGATCACTCACACATCCACACCCCCTCAGACCCGGAGCCAGCACCTCCCCTAGTCCAGCCTGGCCCCGGCGGGACAGCCAGGAAATGTGCGGGCTGGACGGCAGCCGTCCCTCCCTCCTGCATCTGCCCAGCGTCTGGGCTCTCAGGCAGGCCCCACAGGACATCGGGCCCTGGGAGGCCCCTCCTCTCCCCAGCGGCAGCTCCTGAGGCCCAGCTGGGCTCCATCTGGCCACCGCCCACTGGGTCACTCGCCGCCTCGGGCTCCCTCTGCTGGGGAAAGGGTCCAGGAGTCCTGTACTGGGGCCTGCTGCTGATGCCCATTGCTGTGTGACCTCGAACCACTCCCTTGTCCTCTCTGGGCCCCAGTCTCGCCCTTGAACAATAAGCTACACCCACCCTGGGGAGGGACAGGCCAACTCTGATCTCTGCTAGAGCAGGAGGCCCCAAATTCTCCCTCTGCCACCTAAGTGGCCAAAGAGAGACAAGGATACTCCAGCTCACCAGTTCCCCCCATGCAAATGCAAACCCTCATCCATCAGACTGGGAAAAATCTACAAGGTCTGACAATACCAAGTGTGGACAAGTATGGGCAGAAATAGGAACTCTCATTCGCCGCTGGGGAGAGAGCATCAACGGGCACCAGGACTGGGGCAAGCAATTCAGCAAGATCAAGTGAACTGAAGAGAGTTCTAACTTCTAACACTGAATTAATGTTTCCTATATCACCCTCCAAAACACATTTCTAAAAAGGTATATGGGTGGCGGGAATGCCCCAAATGTAATATAAACAAACAAACAAACAACTGTTTCACATAAATAACATAACCACACTGAAGGGGAGGAAATAACCGGCTGGAGCAACTTTTGAACACAGTATAGTGATGATATATACCTTCCGGTTGAAGACAATTAAAATTTAAACACTTGCAAGCAAATACTGAATCTCAGATTAGTTGCATCAGCAATTCTGAAATTACTTTATGCATTATGTCTTGTAACCTTCACAATGTCCATATGAGGTCTGTACTGTTATTACACCCATTTTACTGAAGAAGAAACTGAGGTGCAAAGAGAACAGTAATTTCCAGGTCACCCCATTGGTAAGTCACAGAGGCAGGGCCTGACCCCAGGCAGCTGGGCACCAGCACCCACGGCCTTGACTGTGGTGCTACACTGCCTTTCACAGTCTTGCTTAGCATTAGGGTGCTTTCTGTCGCACAGATGAGGCACCCGAGGCTCAGAGCCAGAGGCAAAGCCACTTGCCTAGCATCCCACAGCTGGTCAGTGGCGGAGCTGTGATTCCAACCCAGACCCGCCTGAGTCCCGAGTCTGTGCCTTTACCCACTGCAATAAGCTGCCAGGGAAGAGCTCATCATCATGGTAAGACCATTAGTAATCCCAGTAATAGTCGCTGCTGTGCTGGGTGTCTTCATTTACCCCTGCTGACCCACAGTCCAAGCTTCTCCACCCTGCTCTGTGCCCCGGGGGGCCGACCTGTATGGACAGCACCAACTGGCTCTCCTGCCTTCTGGCTTCCAGGTGGGCTGGACTCAGGACTGGCTACAGACTTTGCGGGGCCCAGCGCAAAATGAAAATGTAGGGCCCTTTGTTCAAACATTATTAAGAATTTCAACACAGTGACAGCAGAGCATTAAAAGTGTGGGGCCCTGCACGAATGCACCCATGAAGTCGGCCCTGGTTGGATTAAGAGGAGCCCGCAGGAGACCGGACAGAGAGAGGAGACAAGCCGGGGCATCGTTTCCCGGCCCCTCCCTGCAGCAGTGCCAAGGCTGGCTGCCATTCTTTCTTCCTTTCTTTCTTTTTTCTTTCTTTTTTTTTTTTTGCTGAGGAAGATTCATCCTGAGCTAACATCTGACAAAAGAGGCTCAGGGACGGGCTGAACACATGCCCTGGGTGGGATCTGAACCCCAGTCTGTCTGCCTCCCCTGCCCAAGCTTTCATCACTCGGGCCCTGGCTGCTTGTGCTGCCTGCTCCCTTCTCTGTCTGACCATCTAGGCCACCACTTGTCTCTGCTGATGGTCTGGGCACTCCCTCAGAGCAGACTTGGGGCCACATCATCCCCAGGTGTCCACAGCCTGCCCAGCCTGTGGGGTCTGGACCTCACACAGTGATTGATTCTTCAGAGGCCAGTGAGAGGGCCTGGGAGTATCAAGGGAGGAGGGTGGACAGGAACTGAACATGGTCCTGAATGGCCACCTAGTGGTTGTGTGACCCTGGGTGAGCCGTGGATCCTTTCCGTGCTGTGGTTTTCTCACGCATACACGAGCACCCACCTCGTATGCCTGCTGGGGAGGAGGGGGCGTTATCAATGCCTGGCACGTAGTATACATCAGCGGTTCTCAAAGTGTGGGCCGGGGGCTCCTGGGGATCCCTAAGATCTTTTCAAAGGGTCTGCAAGGCTACAACCATTTTTATAAAAGTACTAAGGAGGGGCCGGCCCAGTGGTGTAGCAGTTAAATTCGCGCATTCCGCTTCAGTGGCCCGGGGTTCACAGGTTCGGATCCAGGCATGGACCTACGCACCCACTTATCAAGCCATGCTGTGGCGGCGTCCATATAAAGTAGAGGAAGATGGGCACGGATGTTAGCCCGGGGCCAGTCTTCCTCAGCAAAAAGAGGAGGATTGGCAACGGATGTTAGCTCAGGGCTGATCTTCCTCACACACACAAAAAATACTAAGGAGTTATTTGCCTTTATCTCCTCAGTGCACAGCGGGGTTTTGCAGGGACCATATGACGCGCGCTAGAGCAACAGATTGAACGCGGAAGCAGAGGTGGGAATCCGCGCTCTTCTACTAAGCCAGACATGAGAGAGAGCTACGACATTGAAACCAGCGCCCATCTTCTGACTACATTTTCTTTCGTCTTGGAAAAGAGTTAGTCTTCATAAAAGAATTCTTTGGGGTGAAATAAGTGATGGATTTGTTATTGATATTTTTAAATGACTCAATCATTTAAATATGTCTCAGTTTTGATTGTTAATATAGTACATTTCAAATTGGTATAATCCACATACACAAAAGCTCTTTGGGGATCGCAATGATTTGCAAGATTGTAAAGGGGTCCTGGAGATCAAGGCATTTGAGACCTGCTGATGTATATGAAGCAGTGACGTCACTGGCATCGTATTCCGATCTGCTTATCTCTTTGGTGATTGGCCTGTCTCCCCCCCCAGAATGTAAGCCCCAACAGGGTAGTGATGATTTTTTTTTTTTTTTGCTGAGGAAGATTCACCCTGAGCTAACATCTGTTGCCAATCTTCCTCTGTTTTTCATGTGAGACGCCTCCACAGCATGGCCGCTGCCAAGTGGTGTAGGTCCGCACCCAGGAACTGAACCCGGGCTGCCAAAGCAGAGCGTGCTGAACTTAACCACTAGGCCACGGGGCTGGCCCCAATAGGGAAGTGATTTTTGGTCAGTTTTGCCCAGTGCTGTATTCCAGCACCTAGAAAAGCACTGGGCATACAGTAGGTGCTCAATAAAGACTTGCTGCACAGATGAAGGAATAAATACTAATTAGCGTCATTATGCTTTTATTATTAGTTGACTTTTTTTTTTTTTTTTACCAATGCCAAGCACTTTAGAAGCCTAACTATGCAGGAAGCACATCAAAGGGGCAGTGAAGAGTGAGAGACCTGGGTTTCAATCCAGGCTCTGCCACTTGCCACCCTGGGCCAGTAAGTTCACCTCCCAGAGCCTGTTTCCAGCCAGTCACAGTCAGGCATTGTTCCTGGCACAGAAAGCCAGGAGCCGTCACACCCCGGGAGGTGAGACGCAACACCCACGTTCACACTTCCAGTCATTCAGGTCAAACGGTCAGATACTGAGCATCCACCGGCTGCCAAGCTAGGAGCGGAGATAAAGCAGACACTATGTCTGTTCTCTAAGAGCCCCCTGTTTTGTAAGGGGAACACCAGCTAGCTATGTGTCCTTGGGCCAGGTGCTTCACCTTCTGTGCCTCAGTTTCCCCACTGGTAAAACGTGGGATAATAACAGTACCAATCTCGTAGGGTTGCTGGGAGGAGTCAGTGAGATCTCAGCACGGAGGCAGAGGAAGCACTCCATGAAGGTCACTATTATTCTGTGCAAAGCCATTCCCCTACCTCTGGGCCTTGGTTTCTCCACCCGGGAAACAGGCGTCAGGGTCCTGTGAGACACTCTGTGGGCTGGTTCTCTACCTACTGCTTCTGGACTCTAAATCCTTCCTCTCCCCTTTGTACCCCATGCCCGAGGGGCGGTGGCTGCTTCCAACAGTTACCATTAGCTGGATTGCCTCAGTACTCCCTTTCTGCTTCCAGCCCTTCTAGAACATTTGAAATAAATCCCTGTATTAAATTCCCTCTGCTTGGAATACCTTGAGCAGAGCCTGACCCTGACTCGGGCCCCACGGTGGCATAAAACGCCCCCACCTGGGACGGCCAGGGCATACCTGAAGCTTCTTGAGTTGGCTGTTGACGGTGGCCAGGTCGCCTCCAGGGTCCACGTCTTGCAGCTGGCTTTCCATGTGAAGGAGCTTCTTGTCCAGCTCAGCGAAGCTCTGCACCAGCTGGTCGGCCTTGCTGGCCTCAAAGAGCTGCCGTGCCTTGGCCTGGGTGGTGCTCTCCAGCTCCGCCCAGCACTGCCGGATCTCGCCCAGCTTCTTCCGCACCGACGCTGCCAGCTCTGGCTTCTCCTGCATCAGTTGCTGGCCCTCCTGCCCCAGATGGGTGGCACGCAGGAAGCGAGGGGAAGGGCATGGATGGTGGAGAGGGACAGAGAAATACGGGGGCAACAGGACACAGGCAGAGATGAGGCGAGAGAGAGAGATAAGGAGTTGGAGACACACCGAGACACAGACATGAGGGTTGCAGAGACAGGCCCGGAGATGGAGGGAACCAAGGCATGGGAAGAGAGACAAGGAGAGACAGACAGACAGAGGTGTGAGGAGGGAGACAGAGAGATACAAACAGAGACATGGGAAGGAGACAGGGAGAGGCAGGAATAGAGTGATGGACACAGAGACACCCAAACAAAGTCGGAAACACGGGGGGAGGACCACAAGAAACACAAGAGGGGCGAGAGAGAGACAGAAGAAAGAGACAGAGAGAGAGAGGCAACGGAAATGAACTTCCATTAAACTCGAAATCAAGAAGAGTGGCTTTGCCACGTGCTGCCATTTAGGGGGCATCAACGGCCATTTAAGGGTTTAAGGCCAACCTGGGTGACTCTATTTGAGTCAGAAGAGTGGGGGTATCCAGGGCTGCAGGTGTAGGGGCTCAGCCAGCATAGGGGACAGTTTTGGGGGTTGAGGCTTGGAGCAAACATCTGCCTGGGTCCCTCCAAGACAGAAGTCAAGCTCCAATATCTGTTGGCCTAGAGCCACATATATCACACTACATATTAAAAATAAATACCATAGCAATTACAGCTCCTAGGTGCCTGGCTTCGTGTTAAGCACGTTATGTGCACAAGAGCCCCGGGAAGTAGCAATATTTATTACTTCCTTAATTTTAAAGCAGAGCAAACTGAGGCTCAAGGAGGTTAGCACGGTTCCCCAAAGCCACACAGCTGGTAAGAGGCATAGACACAATTAGAACCCACGGTTGTAGGAAAACGAAGTTCACATTCACTCTGGGCTTCCCAGGGCTTCCCCAGCCTGTCCACCTGACCTTCCATCTTAGATGCTCCAAATGGTGTAGAAGGAAGCCTGGGGGCGAGGTTACAGGAAGGAGTGAAATTTTTAACAACCAGGAGAGTGTGGGCACCATTCAGAAGAGATTCTGGCCACTTTACAGATGGGCAAACTGAGGCTCAAAGAGGTTACATGAATGGCTCAAAGCCACACAGCTAGGAGCAGATGTGGAAATGATCTGAGCTACTTCAGAGGCGTGGGAACAGCAGACGGGTAGTGGAGGGTGTAGGAGATGACACGTGGGTGCCCTGGAGGCCTCCGGCACCTGACATGGGTGGAGGGGCCTTCGGCATCCTCACCCTCTCGATCTTCTCCAGCCACTCCTTATTCTGAGCCAGCTCAGCCATGAATGCCTGGTGCCGGAGCCATCTCTTATGCAGCTTGTGGCCGTCTTCCCGCGTGCCATCTCGCGCCATCAGCATCTTCTCATGGATCCAGCCATCCAGCTGTGCAGGACAAGGGGAAAGGCTCAGCTGGTTCCCCCAACCCGGCATAGCTCCCCATCCCCTCTGGGATGTCCCAGGTTCAGGGACTAGGATGCTAGGTTTGAGGCAGGGGAGAAAGGGATGGAAAAACCTTTGCAAGTGAAGCCTTTATGTGGCGGGGGGCCAGCTCAGGCTCTTTCCAGGCAGTGGAGGATGGATGGAAGGGTCCCCAGAATGCCCCATCCTTTAGCCCTCCTGTCCTCAGAGCAGCCTTCTCAACTCCCCAAAAACCTTAAACTCCAAGGCAGGGCTCCTGGGCCACTCAGCCTCCCCCAACCCACAGCCAAATCAAACCTCCAAACTAATTTAGCTCACATCCAATTTGCACCCCCCAATACCAACACTTAGACCCTTCAATTCAGTCTCAGCCACCTCCAATAAGCACCAATTCTAGATCCCCAACTCATTCCCAAGAATATCAAGTGAAGCCCCCATATCTAGCCCCAGCCCCTCACTACGGCCAGATGAACCCCTAAACAACCTCCCAACTGGTGTCAAGTCTAGTTCCCTCCAAACCAGCCCTCCCATCTCCAGGAGACCCATTCCCCACAACTCAGATCCAGCTTTCCTAAGGAGCCCACAGGACTCCCCAAATCCAGCCCTGAGGATCCAGCCCAAAACCATGACCAATTCTAGCTCCCAACCAAAGCCAACACCCCAAATGCAAGCAACAGAGCTGCCTTCTGGCTCCGGAAATGAGCCGCCCCCAAACTCCAGCCCCAGGCTCCCCGACATGGACCAGATAGAACCTTCCCAGGCATCCCCCCTCCCAAACTAAAGCCAGTTCTAGTTCCCCCACTCACTAACAAAACCATTCATCCAAATGCAAGCATCAAGAATGAGCCCCTCTCAGGGCCTGGAGCAGGACCAATCACAAGGCTGCTTTCTGAGACCCCTCAAAATATGACTTGTCCCCCAAGCCAGAACCTCCCCACTCATGACCAAACCTGACACATGGGACAGTTTGCTCCTCCCCTTTCTCCTCCCCCCCTCAGTCACAAGATCCTCCTCCTCCCTCCTGCAAAAAAAAAAAAAAAAAAAAAACGGACTCCAGCTTGTCGGTCCCAGGAGGTAAATGCAGTCATAGCCAAGGACAAACCCCGAGCCGGCCAAACCCCACCCGGAGTCCCCCGAGCATGTGCTCCCCAGGGGTCCAGGACAGCTTCAGACTCCCTGACACACACACACTAGAGCCAAGTTACATGCCGAATCCCCCAACTCGGTTCACAGGTTCCCGACACAGAGGGAAGAGCTGGCCAGTGGCAGCCAGCGCTCACAGTGAAGGCAAAGCCCCTATAGGAGAGGGTACTCCGTCATCAAGGTAAAGCCCCCCAAAACTGACTGACCCCCCTCACTGAGGGCAAAGCTAGAGTCCCCAACAACCAAGAAAAAGCCCCCAAAAGTCAGAGCCCCCCAAACCCAGAGCAAGTCCAAGACCTCATCGCCCAAGGCAGACCCCCGCAAAAGTGATTCGCCCCCATCATCTAAGGCTAACACAGATCCGGCAAGAACCAAGAAAGAATCCCCCAAAAGGATGGGAGTCCCCCTACCCAGATCCCCCATTACCCAGAGGAGAACCCCCTAGAGGCGCTGAGACCCCTTCACCCCCGGGGCAAACCCACACTACCCCAGAAACAGCCTTAAAGTCCTCCTTTTTCCGCTTTCTCCCTTGGGACCCGGTCCCTCAGTCCCGCCCGCAGCAGCACCGCGGACAGCTCCCGGAGTCCCTGCCCCTCCCCGGGGCTGGGGTCCCTGCGCCCGGCCGACCCGCCTCCGCGCCGCCCGCGCCCCTC